GGTCCCAGCTGGAGTTAAGCAGAGACAGCATCGTCATCTGATGGTGTGAAGCTCTCCACGCTGATTTAATGGAGAGGCTAGCTCCCACGGCTGGGTGAAAGGAGTCGAGGCACTGCATTTCCAGCCCTGCCTCCCTTACTCACCCACCACCAGCTGGGGCCAGGCTGGTGGTAACGGAGTGCTGCCCTCAGCAGCATGGCACATGTCTCTGTTCTGGAGATATTTTGGAACTATATTTGATGGATCACCTGGAAGTGTATAGTCTTGGCAGGATAATAATTGCAGCCTGGGTCTGGTAGTGATTTATAAGCCTACTTTAGATTGAGAGCTACCTACTGGTGGGAAAGCTTTGCAAGGTGAAACGTGCCGTGTGTTGGGAAATAAGCCAAAAGGAAGGTGGAAGGATACTGTCAGGAGGTATAGCCCCCAAGACAAAGATCTTGGTCAGTGCTGAACCCACTTTCCAAGGTCACATCATGGACTTTGTGCTGCATCTGCATCATTCCTGCATCTACCACAGATACCTGGGTCAGTGCCTCCGTCATCAGCTGGTGATGGCAGGACCAGCTTGGGTGACGTCCCATGACGATGCTGGTTTCCAAGTGGCTGGAAGTGTAACTTAGCCTCCCCAGCAGTTAATGGCAATGTGTTCATTGACTTCCAAGGGAACAGGGATGGGATGGAAGACCGAGAGACCTCCGCTTGGTCTTTGTCCATAGCAGGGTGCAGCTCCAGACTACCAAAACAATCCAGAAGTTACCACGCCTTGTGAGTCAGTGTAAGAGGGCAGGACCTCACTGGCCACATGGAGTTAAGGTTCAGCAAGAAATATGCAGGAGATGGGTAATCGATGAGGGAAGCAACAGGAAATGCTGCTGTTACTGGCATCCCTGGAACGAGTTCCCTGCTCAGCTCAGCCTAGAAGCAGTGCAATGCATGTCCAGGAGTCCTTCTCCTCACCCTGCCTGGGGTGGCCTCAGCAGCCTCCAGACATGCATCCCACCCCTTCCCTGCAGCGAGGAGGCTCTTCCGGAAGAGCCGTGTGGATTCGCACAGGACCACAGCCCTATTTCCTACTCCTGCCAAACTGCAGAGGTTTTCTCACGCTACCAAGCCGCCGCAGAGCTGGTGTGCAGGAGGCCAGCAGCCTCCCAGGTGATGTGCTGCTCTGCGCTGGGTTTTTGCAGAGATGTGCCCAGGCAGAGGGGAGATTTCACGGCTGCTGCTTTCACTTGCCTCCGAGCACGGAAGGGCAGCAGGTGGCTCGAATTCACCCAGCTCAGCAGCTGCAGCGTGGATGCCTCTTGCAGCCTTTCAAAAGCTTCATACATTTTTTAGAGCAGCCCAAAGTGCCTGCTGAGTCGGCCAATCAGCTCTGGGAGAGTAGTGAAAGTTACTGTAAATTATTAACCACACACAGCCAGACACAGGGTTGGAGGGGTGGCAGTGGGAAAGGCAAAGTTACTCGTTTCCCCTTCTCCTGCGAACGCCGCCAGAGTGCCCAGCGCTGGCTGCCCGGAGGCACCATGGCCTCTGCTCCGACTCCCTCGCCAGCGCTGAGGCTGAGCCCAAGGTTGCTTGAAGGAGAGGACAGGCCAGAACTCATCTCACAGCTGGTGTCTCCCCCCTGCCCAGCCCCCTGGCCCCTGTCACAGGTAGGAGCCTGCCAGTGGGCACAGGAGTGACTGCAGGCGTCCTCTGTCCTGGGAAATGTGCCCCTCTGCTGCCTGCCTGCCTTCCTCCCCTCTCCTGCCGCCTTCTGCCCTCTTCCCAGGCCCATAAGTTTCTTAAGCTCCCTCTTAAAAAGCTGAGTGGGAACAGCGAGGGAGAGCCAGCTCTGGCACTCTTCGACTTTCCTGTAACCTCCAGTAATTTTCCCCCCTCGAGCTTTAAATGTGGTGTAATATAACCACGTTTGCAAACTCGGCTCCCGCAGGAGCTGCTAATAAGCACTTTGCAGCCTCCGAGGCTCTGCCCTTCTCCTGGTTCCTGCGGCTGGGGGGGGCGG